GAATTTTCTTTGACTGAGCACAGTTCATGACAAAGAAATGTTCTCATGTCAGTCCTTGGAAAAACTCCTTGGCTTTCCATCAGCACTTATTCCCCAAAATAAGTAATTTAGTGTTTTGTCTGCTTTCAGAAGTGCAGTTAAAAAAAACCAAACAACCAAACCCACACACAGAAGCAGCTTATCAAGCACCTCAAATTGGTAATTTCTGGGTCAATAGTTCTCACCTGGTAAAATAACAGAGCTGGCATCTTCATGAACTTCCATCTCTTCTCCTCTCTCATCTGTTGGGTTTTCAGACACTTGCTCCACATCTTCACTCAGCTGTGTAGTTAAAACAGTGGTTCAATTTCCAAACATGCTCTCAACTTGCAATTGCTGGAATTTCTATGGTACAAATGAAAGAGGCTCCAACTAACCAAACACACAAAAACATGCCCCCAGTCCAAAAGCACCCAACATCTGTTCCACTTGTTCACAAGAGCCACATTCCTATAACCCTACAGCTAAAAATTAAGTGGCTTGCACACTGCAAAAAGACAAAGATGGCACATTAAGTTTAACCTACTTCTACCCTGCTCCTTCAGCAATAACATCACCTTTTCTTTCAAGATCAAAGCAATTGTTTTCCTGGCTGCTTCAGCTCACTTTAAACCTCCAGTTATGGCAATGCCCTCTGAAATAAGCAGGAACTTTGATCTGTCACTCAAGAACATATTTTTAGGCATAAGCAAACCACAGCACAGAGCAGCAAACAGAGCATTAGCACTTCTTAATGAAGAGGTGCATAAAGCGTGAGCTACATTCCGACAGTAACGCAAATGCAGTCCCAGCCACAGAGGTAGGTGGGTCACTACAAGACAACAGCCAAACACTCCTAAATTTCTGGTACTCATTTGAGTTCACTGTGCAAATTATTATATATTAGTGCTTATGCAACAACTTAGTCTTCCACTGTTTCTAAACCAGCAACAGAGACCAGATGTTTTCTTGTTTTCCTGTTCAGAGCTCTGGGCCCAAACAGCCGAGACACTTCTGTCATAGTCAGAACCTTGTCACATCAGATAGACATCACAAGAGATCATGAAGCATTAGACTACATATATATACACACACACACATACATATATATATATATATATATAGTTTCTCCTGTATGTTTTCCAAATTTCTTTTATGGCTGGCAACAACATACAAATGGCAGCCAGACGAACTGGGGCGTAAGCTCACAGCACATCACGTGTTGCACAGCAACTGTCCAAGCACAACACCCAGCGTCACCCACCGAATCAGGCAAGGGAGTTTAGCTTTGTTCCTATTTCAAGGAAAACGGGTGCGCAGTTAATGCAGCAGCCATACTGAATGCTATTCAACTTTACACCCCCAACTTACTCAACAGTAACATGCATGTATCCATAAGGAAGTGCTTTTATTTCACCCAACTTTAATTCAGTACTGAAACCATCATTATACCATTAACAGATCATTATTTGCACTTATGAGGAAAGAGTCCACTCATTTTACGTCTTCCAAGTCTGACATAAAGCCTCCATCACCTCCTGCTGTATTTCTGTATTCATTTCCACCATGCAAAGCAAGTTGAAAGCAGTTACCCAGTTGTTTTTAAATGCTTTGCACATAAATAAAGCATGATTTCCCATGGTGTGAGGTGTGGAGCGAACAGGTAACCAACAGGCTAAACTCATCTCATTTGCAGGAGACATACCAGGCTCCGACCGAAGACACCTTTTTCAATTCTCTTCACAAAACAAGGGAAAAGTAACACTCTGCTCCTTTCTGTAGGGACACCCCAGTTCTATTTGTTTACTTGACCTAAAGCTGTTCTGACACAAGAAGAGTGTTCACTGAACCTCTTGTACTGGTTAAGCTAAATCAGCTAAGAAGCCAGTTCAAATTATACTCTTGCAAATTCCTTACACCAGAAGTGATCCAAAAAGTTTAACATTAGTTACAAAGTCACTGCAGCTTCTCAGCTGACTCCCCACATCTCTCTGGTTCTGCCACGGTTCCCCAGGCACAGGCAGCTCTTCAGCCCAGGCTACGGAGAGGGTAAGAGAATTCTGTTCCTGATAGCAAGGAGATCCCAACATAAGTTTAAATAAGAACACAACATGCAACATTTCTTATCCTCCCGAGAGGACCTACTGCAACACTTCAACAAGTAGGAGATGAGAACTCAAAACATGTAACCTTTCAGCATTCCTTAGAAGTAAAACAAAAAAATAAACAATATGCAACTATGTTTTCTTATCTCTGCTCACAAGGCAGACATAGTTTATAAGCTTTTCACACCTAAAACCAGTGAAGGACAGCTAGCCAAAAGCAGGAGTGCTGACATTGCCTCGGGTGCAGGGAATAGGTTGAGCTGATGTGTACGACCCCCCTAAAACCAACTAAGTTCACTACAAACCCTGAACACCTGGCTTGACCAGAGATGAAGTTGCACAAACCCTCCGAGGCCACCAAGAGCCTGGCGCTGTTCACAGCTCAGCCGCCGCAGTCCGAGCGTGCAGCACGCTGACTCTGCAAGGCACGGCAGCACAGACCCGAAAACCCAACAACTCACAGACGTATCAAGCTATGGTCTGCCTGCGGCTGGGAAGCCAGCACAGCATTACTGCATGACAGCCCATTTGAGTTTCTCCACACTTGGCAGAGTCCCCACACCAAGGCAACTGGCAACGGTGAACCCAGCATATACCAACGGTGCTCGCCCTCGCAGGCCAGCTCTTTCTGCATGCTATTTTTGATGAAGCAGTAAAGCACGGTGCGAATGCAGAAGGAACACAAACCTGCAGGGCAGTTAAGCTTGCAATAGGATGCAGAGACAGGACAGATCATCAAGAGCAGGAAGGGCATGAAACAGACCTTTGTTCAGCATTCCTCTGGGCTTGGCATGTGCAGCTGACCAAGAAACAACTGCAGCAGCCTGCATGCCACCCAGCAGTTCCTCTCCAGTCCTGCACGCAGAAAGCCACCGGACAAACAGAAGCTCAGAAGAAGGCAATTCCAGATATTTCAGCATCCCTGCTAGGGCCAGGAGCATCACAGACTGCCCCAGGTGCCGGAGAAGGGACGGAAACGCAGCTGCTGCACTTACACACCACCCAGACTTGCACCACGGAGGTTGGGACAATCCCAAATGCAGGGAGCAGTGTCAGCGGTGGCCGACATGCATGGAGGAGATGTAACATCCACAGTCCAGACCATTCTTCAGGCACCAGTGGGGCCTCATTGACTCTCTCGGGTACCTCCCCTAAATACAAGCTCTTACACGAGTTAATTTCATCCTGATAATCACGGGATAAAACCTTCCTACTGGATGAAACCCTCAGATGTAAAAAGAGGAGGACTTGTCCACCCAGGCTTGCTGCTGGCTCACCGATTTGCCACCTTCCAATGCCTTCGGGCCTGCCACGAAAACCAGCAGCCGACACGAAGCAGGCAGCACCAAACCAAACCAGAGCCCCAAGCCACCCACCGCACGCAGAGCCAGGCAGACACCCGCACTCCTTTCACCTGCAGGACGCACACAGAAGCGGCCCGCTGCAGGCCTCCACCGCTGCCGGACCCGGCACGCACGGCCCC